ACCGATTTTGGATGGTACCGTTTATGAAGAATTGGAAAAAATGGTGTTTCCTAGTTTTTTTGGACACCGTTTTCGGATGATTTGAAAATATCTCAAAAATGGTGTAGTGTAATTTTGGCAAACGCTCTTAACCTACCAAACGACGGATTTTGACCATTTCTCATAGACTTACTTTCCTATAATTTTACCCTCTATAAAATAATTATTCCAACCAAGAATTTTTCTTCAAAACTAAGGCCATGTTTGGTACACATTATTTTTTTCATTCTCATTCTTCTACTCATTTCAACCACACATTTTTCAATAAAATAATATTTTCCATCACATTAATAACTTTTCATTCTGTTTCAATGGCGTATTCCCCATCACATCAACAGTAAATATATACATTCTTACTCCCAAAATGTACATCAAATAGGGGCCTAATATGATTTTATCCAAAACAGTTTTTTCTTGAATTAAAAACTCCTAATTAATTACACTCTACACAATGAACCCAACATCGATATACTAAATCTCACCCTACCAATATCCAATTATTAGACCCAAAAATATAAGAATTAAAACCCATTTCACTTTAATGTTTCAGCTTTTTAAATTATAAAAATATAGCATATTAAACAAATATATTTTATTTTATAAAATTTTTGGGGTGTTACAAGAATGGTTGATAATATTTTGATCTATGCACCATCTCAAAATTACCACATTCCTCTACCTCTACATGAAGAAAAGAAAAGTAGATTCCAATAAATCATTGTTATAATACCATGTTGGCCCATTAAAAATTTTTCCTTTCTTAATTTTAACTACAAATTTTTCAAATAAAATAATATTACACATAAATTTAAAATTTTTCATTATTTTTCAACTACACGCTCTCCCATATATTACCATTCCAAAATTCGTAAATTCTTCAAAATGGGGGCATGACTAAATACTCAAGAACATTGGGGCTACAAGTAGTTTCAATGAAATCTCAGGGGCCCAAATGAAATTCACTTTCTTTACATAAGAACTTCTCTCCCAACACCAAACCAAACCCTAAAGTGGAAGAAGAAAGGTAAAATAGAGAGAGAGAGAGAGAGGAAGAGTACAGTACTTGCAATGGATGCGCTGAGGAAGCAGCTAGATGTGTTGATGGGAGCCAATCGAAACGGCGACGTAGAGGAGGTGACGCGAAAGTACTTCGACCGTGACGTCTGCCGCCTCTACCTCTCAGGCCTCTGCCCTCACGACCTTTTCCAACTTACTGTAAGTTTACGTGTGTGTGTTTACGTTGCATATGTGTCTGTAATCTATTTTAATTTTCAGGTTTTGAAAATACTTAACAAACCCCAATTGACATTTTTTTTTTGGGAACTTTTTGGTTCTAGGAATTAGGGAAATCAACTTATTTTTACGCTCGAGGGATTTTTTTCCCGTTATTTAGCAGAAATTTGTGTGAAACTTTTTATATGTATTGCCGTTCATTTCATTGATGCTTGCAAGTGTTTTTTGTTTATTATTTTTATTTTGGTGCAGAAAATGGACAAGGGACCTTGCCCAAAGGTGCATTCGTTGCAGTTGAGAAAAGAGTATCCTCTACGTGGCGTTGATATACATTTTATGTCTATTTTTTGTATGTTCACCTAGTAGTGATTTGCGACAGTGAAATTGTAATACTAGTTCGTAAAGCTATTATTTGTTAACACTATAACATAAAGAATTAGTAGAGTATATTGATATGTGTTTGACAAGTATTGCGTTTCAAGAATATTAGTGGTTGATCCTTTGGAAGTTATTTTACAAATGAATATTTGAAATTAAGTTCTGATATAAGTGACAAAACAGAATTAGAAGAACTGCTCTCTTCCTCAAAATGTGACCCCTCATCCGAGGAATATCTTGTTATTGATGAAAGTGGAAGCTGGAATAATACCGTTCTCTTCTGTATGATTGTTGAAATGTTTTTGCGAATCTGTCTCATTTCATTAACAAGAAATCTATGATTTAAAACTCCCACAGCACCCACCATTGATTACCTGTAGTTGCTTATGCAAATATTTGTTAATACTGTGATAAATGCACATGTTACTTTTTATTTATCCAGTTTGCTGACGTGCAAGTTTGTCATTCGAAGTTTCTATATGTTGCTTTAACACTTCGCCAGATACCAGGAAGCAAAAGCAAAAGGTTTAGATAATTATGATAGGGACTTGGAGGATAACATAGATAGACTTATTGTTGAATGTGACCGGAAAATCGAAAGGGCCCTTAAGAGACTTGATGAAGAGGATGCTAAGGCTGCTATTGCTATCTCCGTGTCACAAGTTACCCAAGTAATGACATATTCTTAGTACTGGATTCTAATTTTTTTTAATCTACTATTTGTTACTTCTGCATTGCTCTCTATTCCCATGTACTTAACTAATTTTTTTGGATTCAGACACCAGAAATTCTTGAATTGTCGAAACAAATTAAAGAGAAATTGAAAGAAGTCGACCAATTTGGTAAGTTTCTATGAGACGTCTAATTTTTTTTAGTGGAATTTATGATTTATTATAAAAAAATCCTTAATATTACTATCCTTGGAAAGATGAGATGGAAAAGTCTACTTAGAAGCTGTTATGACTTCTATAGTTTTGCTAATGTGATGCCATGAATTGAACAAGGTTAGAAAACAAATATGACAAGAGAAACCATTTTTACCACTAGTTTTATGACCTTTTATACCATCTAATTTAATTACATATTCAGCTAATCTCTAGTAATCATGCAAAAAATAAGAGCTTTTGTGGGAAGTGTTTATAAACTGTTTAATTTATAAATAAATTGAAACGAGGGGTAGTTAAGAGGATAGTATTTATGGGTTCCTGGAAATGTGTAGATAAAAAGTGACTTGAATGTATAGAACAGTTCATGAACATGAGCTAAACGTATGCCAAACTCTCGTTAAAGAGAGGGGTGAGCTATTATGCTTTATGAATTTAACAATTGTATTCTCGTTTAAACATATAACTTGAAATCTATGATGCTCGGACTCTTCGAAATAGTTGGAGTACCCGTGTCGGACACGACATGGGTATGGGTATGGGATATGTGTCGGATCCTCCAAGTTTCAACCGGACACTTTGTCGTTTTTGCTTCTTCTTCTTCTTCTTCCTTCTTTTTTTTCTTTTCCTTTTCTTCTTTCTCACTTTTGCTCTCTATAAACCTAGTGTCGTCGCCGAGAGGGTGAAGAAAGATGGCGACGCTAGATTTTTCTTTCTTTTTTCTTTCCATTTTCTTTTTTCTCCTTCTTTCTCTCTCTACATAGGTGGTTTAGGGTTTTGTTTGTATAAAATGAAAAATTGGTTCCATATAGTGCTATTTAGTGCTCCACTTAGTCCAAATTACAATCAAGTTCCTCATTTTCTCTTTTATATAAAATTTAATAATTCTCATTATTGAAAACTAAACCCCAGAATTCTATTTTATTTGTTAACCCTTTATTAAATACTCATTTCCTTCATTGTGAATAATTAATTTTGGTCTATTCAAAATGACATCTTGGATTAGTAAAAAAATTGAAGTTTGAAAGACGTACCCTTGTCCAAAATTTGGACTCTTTTTAGTCATATCCCTGTATCCTACATTTAAAAAAATAAAAGATCCGACACTTAGATACGTACCCGTACCCGANAAAATAAAAGATCCGATACTTAGATGCGTACCCGAGTCCAAGCATCATAGCTTGAAATAACTTATAAGTCGTCTACCGTGTAGAAATATTTGAAAATAGACATGATAAAGGTAATTTACTCCATCCGTAATTATTAGTTAGCAACATAAATCTAAAAATCAAGACATGATTCAGAATATGTCCTCAACAACTCTACACATGCTTAACTTGATGCACAAAATCCTTCTTGGATGCCAACAACTGGTAACAACACTAAGGAACATTGATTTCTCGATGTGCACCTAGAATGCAATTCTATGAGTTCAATTCTCAACAAATAAAGATGATAAATAACTGCGACATGAATATAAGCATGACTATCGTAGCACACACCTCGTGACATCAATAGAAGTTTTCATCTTTTGAGCAACTGAATTTATGAGCTTCATAATGTTCAAAATCTTTGATTTTAAAATCATTTTCTAGGTCCCCTTAAAGCTGGTAACGAGGCAGGCCAAGGACAGTTGGGATGCCCTGCGCCCTGCTCCTCTAAGGATTTAAACGCCTCGATCTCCGCTTAAGAAGTGCTGGGCAACCCTTGCCCTTAAATATATTTATATGTTATTTTTTTCACTTCCAAGAACCTAAACCTACAAAATAACCATCCCAACAACACGGTTTTATTGTTATACACAAGTAACCAAAAGGGATGTTCTTGGAAAGATAAAACCCAAAAAAAAAAAAAAAATTAGGTAGGTGTACATTGGGGCTTGTCAATGAAGTTGATAAAAAAATGACCATCTTTTCCTTCGAATCAGCACTCGGTAGCAGCTTTTGGAATGTTGTTGTCTATTGCGGTGAGAGGAAGGTGATTGGTGAAATGAGAGATTACACATGGGAGATTAGGGTTTTGGGCTTAGGTTGGCTTGGCAGGTTTAGGACACGGAAAAAAGAGAATAGCGGTTAATAGCCGATTGGATCAAAATTCAAAATTTTTTAACAACGGGACATTCGGGGCGGGCGAATTTATTCCCCATACCCTCCCTTCCTCAAACTGGGGCAACAAAACCATGCCCTCGTAATCGCCTCGTCATCCCATTGGGATGGGTAATTCCCGTTCCATTCGGGGCAGGACATGGCATCAAGGCTCGGGTTTTTCAATTCAAATTGTTATCTTTAGGTCCTCTTCGCCCATTGCTATGTTTGTGGACTTACTATATCACAGTTTATGTATCTCCTTTTTCCGAACTTATCCTTGTGTCATCCGACATTCCATCCCTTTGTTTCTAGTGATACATAGGAGAAGTAATCTTGTCTCATTTTTATCAGATTGCACATCTAATGCAGCTGAAAATCGTTGGAAAAAAGTAACACATTCAATCCTGTTGATTCACACAGAATAAGAAAAAAACCTAATAACAATGAATCACAATTCTAGTTTTTAGAGGAAAACAAAAAGCCTTAACTTAGCCCCTGTTTGATAGCTATTGTTTTGAGAAAATGAAGTTTAGTGATTTTTTTGGAGAATATGTGGTAAAAAAAGGGAATAGTTTTGGGTTTATGTGCAAAATATTTTATTGTGTAAACATGTGGTTGAAAATGAGTATGAGTTAAAGAGTTTTGAAGTAATGGTTGTCAAACAAGGGCTTAATCTTCTTGGTAAACGCAAACTTTAGAAAAACTAATCTTAACATATAAAACTCCTACTAAACTAAACATTGAAACAAATTATCTCGACAACGAAAGTAATTTTCCATGTTAACTATGTTGGAATTGTGTCTATAACAATGGGATGGAGGGTACTGATATTCATTGTGTTCCAGGACAATGTAATTAACCAGTTGATATATTGGAAAAATTAGCAAAAATTATACATATAAGTCACTAAAAGGGTATAAGTTATTATGATGCTCCCGTTTCAGGGTATACAAGTTCTTTATTTACAACCATTTCTCTTTCTTTGCTCAATCTGAAAGTCTGTTTTGAGTTGATGTTTGTATATCTGTTGTTTTAAATTAAAGTTTATCTAATTGAGCTATAGGTGCCTGCTGATAGTGATTTACTGATGTTGCTGAACATTATTTGATTTTATAGATCTCGAAGGCAAGACAGACATGAAGATTCGTGCTTTGGAAGAGGTTGAAGAACTAAGAATTAAAAGAGCCGACATGCAGGTTTTAAGGCTATTTGACATTTAGTTATTACTAACTAATTATCAGTAAAATGACATAGCTGAAGATTCGTCATATACTTATTTTATCTAAATTAACATTCATATTACGACAACGCATACAAACCCATGGACTCTCACCCAGGGAGTACGAGGTCATGGAGCGAGACTTCCTAAATACGGAGTACTGTTTTGCAACTCGCGAGCAAAAATCTGAACTCTATCGACTCATTTTTTATGGTCGAGAGGATCCCCAATTCTTCAAATACAAACCCATGGACTCTCACCCAGGGAGTACGAGGTCATGGTGTGAGACTTCCTAAATATTTATGTGAGTTATTAAGGTTTGCTACTGTTGAATGACAGTCGACGCTTCTTTTGGATGCTTTTAACAAAGATCGGGCATCTCTACCTCAGCCACTAACAACTTCACAGTTGGCACCTTTGCCAGCAGCTACTCCAGATCCACGCATACAGGAAATGATTAACGAGAAGCTAAAGAAAGCAGAAGATCTTGGTATGATGTTGTCTTAAGCTTTTATATATACACACTGTAGGTTCATGTAATAGCAATTTGATTTTACCTGGTTGACTTTACACATCCTTCAGAATATTTGAATTTACTTTTTCTTGTTTAAACATAGGAAGATGTAGATGCCTGTCCTAGCCTACTGTTGCTGAAATTACCGAAGCCTCTTGTGTCCTTTACTTTCCTTACCCCTTAAAATTTTTCTGAAAAGTTCATTTAGGTGGGTATATGCTCCCGTTGTCGCATCCTGAAGGCTTCACTTAAAACGAGTTGGGGAATGGATTAGTTACTCTTTGGGATGGTCCCTAGGCCTGTATACTTATGTTTGGTCTAGTAAAATACGTGTAACGACAACTGTTGATATAGTGTTGCCAAACAGCCATTGGACCTGATTGATTGGACTGTGTTCTATGTGAATATTCAGCTAGTTTAGCCTTTCGTAGCCTAGACTGCCCAAGCATATAATACCTTTGTGTGTCATTGTTGGGGTCATGATGGGCTGTCTTTGGGCCCCGTGACTGTGAACGTTGGTTTATTCTTCAAATGAGAAGTTAAGGCCATAGCATTGGGCTTAGGCGGCCGTGTCCTTTTATATAGTTTTAGTTGATGAATCTAATAGTTTCGTGTTGAGTAGAAATAAGACAAAATATACGCAATGCCACTTCAGTTATAATGGAGTTAAGTTAGTGGATTGTGCAATCCCCAAAGTGATTGTTTTTGGTATTTAGGTTTGATTATTAATGAGGGAGGAGGAAGTAGTAAGAGTGTAATGCATAGTCAGAGCAGCTTAGCATTATTTTTTTTTTTTTGATAACCGTGGATGTCCAGCTAGCTTGCGCGCACCTCGATTAATTCCACGGGCCCTGAAGTTTACGGTCGGATATTGACCTCACTGACCCTGAGAGGACTCGAATGGTGACCATTGGAGAACAAATCCAAGACTTAACCAACTGAGCAACTCCTCAATGTTAGGTTAGCATTAAATTACAGAACAGTTATTAGACCTGTATGCTTTATGTTACCAAGGGCTGGGTAAATTAAGGGTTGATATGTTCTAATTTTGTCTGGTTCTAATGAGAACTAGATTGAACCGGGTACTACAGGAGTTCTACAAATGGAAGCTAACAGTTCCATGCAGAGATGGTCGAGTTCCTTTTTACTCTTCTAGTAGACATAGCAATAAACCACAGAGTGTAGGAAAAATGGACTTATATAGCGACCCCAAATTTATTTGGAAGGTGGGGAGCCACCTGATGCCCGGTGGGGTTGCCCCAGGATGTGGGTTGTGGGAGAAATAATTGATCCAAGTGTAGGTTTAGAGCAATACACCTACAAGAACAAAAATAAATTAAACAGATGTATGTGTGTCGAACGGATTTACAATAAACAATCATCAAACACATAAAGAAAAATATAAAGAAATGAGGAAGGCAGTGAGAGAGGCATAAAGAACTTCTTATCATTTCACTCATTTCATATGACAAACAGAAAAAAGGAAAGTGAGAGAAAGCAAATCAAGTTGAGAAAAACAGAGAGGCAATCGAAAATCGGAAGCGAGAAAATGAAAGATGAAGTAACCAAAAAAGGCCAATGAATGAGGGCAACAGTTGGGAAAAAAGAAGAGAAAAGAGAGATGAATGTAGGCGGTGATAAAGAACTCGGTTTGGATGTACAGTAGGCAATTACTGGTTGTATCAGATTGAGAACAATAATACGTTGTTTGATAAATAGAAGTTAAGTGAAGGCTAACTTAGACTTTTAGTTGTTTGGGAAAGATTATTTATATTGAAAAATGATTTTTGGAGAATATGTGGTTAAAAAGGAGGGAAAATTATGGGTTCATCTGCAAAATTATTGTTTTGAGAGATTTTTGTGGTTGACAAATGAGTTTAAGAAAAAAAATGTTTTTTTAAAAGTCTAACTTGGACTTTTTTTTATAAATATGGTCTGTTTGGCTAGACTGAAGAATGCTAATGTTGGCCTTCAATATCTTCAACTGCATTATATTTGAATAGAATATGACAGGAAAATTAACTATTTTTTTTTATCATACGAGCCTCTTCCTTAATCCCATCTAATTCTATAAAATTTAGTTCCATGCATCAAATATGCAAGTATAGAATCCTCTGGGGAACAATATCATAAAAAGATGACTAAGTCAAAGATATTTATGGATGATGTCCAATTTTCCCCTGTAACACTAATTTACATAACATAAGAAATATAATATTTTTAATTTTCAGACGTTATTACCTGTTTTATAATTTATTTATTTTTATTTAAATTACACTGCCACTAGATTGAATCCCTCCCCTTCTGTTTGGAACATTGCTTATTTGTTGTTGTTGAACTTCACCCAGTTGAATAAAAATAGGACTAGAATAAGTTACTGAATAGTAGAAGAAGAAACCTTTTCTAATTTTCTTTTATGTGAAGATTGAATATAAAGATTTGTTAAGTTGGGTTTATAGTTGATGGATCCTTGGAGATAAATGACTTTATGCATAAACTTCTGTTAAATTTTCAACATATCATCCTTTAGGCCAATAATTTGGTTGTGCTTGGAAGCTTGTGTGTGTATTTTTTTTTTATATGTTTGAATGAAAATTAACTTGTCTTGAATATGTGGCTTTGATGCTTCAGGTGAACAAGGAATGATAGATGAAGCACAGAAAGCATTGGAAGAGGCTGAAGCACTCAAGAAGGTTTAAATTTGTTTATTTGACTTTCATTACTTGTTAATATCTTTATTTCATTATTTTTGATTTTACTCTATTATTCATTTGTTTGCCCCTTTCTGTTAACATTTATTGATGCTTTAACATTTGATTTCATTTTTCTGTTGTCATCAGTTGCCAGCACGCCAGGAACCTGTACAAGATTCTTCAAAATACACAGCTGCTGATGTGCGCATTGTAAGTCTGATTTCTTGTTGTTGGACTGGTTTTGATTTGACAATGTGTTCACTTCCATTTCCATTTCACCTTTATTTTATCAGTTATCTGTTTGGGCAAAATGTCGATGTACATGTTCAAACTTTTATGTTGAGATCTATATTTCTAGTCTGTAAGTTGGATGTCACCTTGTAGATAAGAATTTAAAATATTCTTGCCTATTATGGTGTCAACTGTGGTTTGAACATGAAATTTAGAGTTTGATAACATGTAATAGTTGATTCTGATATAGTGATTCTTCTCTTCTGACAGACTGATCAGAAACTTCGTGTCTGTGACATATGTGGAGCATTCTTGAGTGTTTATGACAGGTAAATATTATGTCATTTTCTAAGCTTAAACTGTACCTCAGCATTTTTAGGACAAGAAATATCTAGTTTCAGGAGTTTTGGGTACTTCATTGTTTGACCGGGCGATTATACCTCCTTGTTACCAGCAGGCTTTTGGCCCAGTTTTACGAGGATAAACTTTTGCAGCTAAAGAATGTGCGTTATTTTTCTGTTTTATGTTTGTCAATCATGCTATCCTTAGTTAGAAAAATTTGTGGGGCTATTGTATCACTATTTTCTTATTCTTACGGGTCTTTTAATTTTGTTATGATCATATGCTATGTTACCTTTATGTGGTTTCCAGTGACCGTCGCTTAGCTGATCATTTTGGTGGAAAACTTCACTTAGGCTATATGCAAATTCGTGAGAAGTTAGCTGACCTCCAGGTATGACCAGATGATCAATTATTTGCACTTCTTGACTTGCCTTTTTTATTAAGCCCCCATTTGGTAGAAATTCAAATTCAGATTTTAATCTAAGTCAAAGTCACAACTCATTTTAACCAAACATTTGATTGGATCCACAACTTTTTAATTATACATTTGATCAACTTTTGCCAATATCTACTAAAAATCTGATTTTAATCCTCACCAAATTGGGGCTAAATATGATCCTCTATGCTGTATCCTTTGATGCATTAGCTTTCCTTGGTGCGTAACGGTATAAGATTATTTTTTTTTTTCCCTTTCATTTACTTGTACTGGCTGCCATTTCTTTTTAAAGTAAATCTTGCATTACCTCCATGCCTAGGTACTCTGAACTTTCGATTCAGATGCTAGTAAGGTGTTTCAATTTCTTGTTTATAGATTGTCAGTTTTAATGTATTCTAGTGAGTTTTTGTTATCCTCGGAGAAGTGTATTTTATCCTCGCTAAATTCTCGAGTATTCTTTTAAAATTTCTTGTTCACTGTAGATTGATATTCATGTGAAACAGAAAGATGACAGTTGTTTCAAGTAATTGTCAATTAAATTTAGATATCAAACTGAATCTTGAAATTCTCTGAACTGGAAAGTGCCATTAATTAGGGAAATTTTCAATTCAATAAGAAAAAACGCACTGAAATTATTGGAAGAATAAACTTGGGTTAAATAGATATCAGGATTTGAAAATCTTCCTAAGTTTGTCTGTTTGAGCTGATACAGGATGCTTTCTAAGGTTTACATTTGTACTATATGTAGTTGCATGGGGGTTAAAGTTAGCTGTAACGTTCATTATGAGCTTTGTCCCATCGTATTTTGTCCTCTGAAAATTCCGCTACCTATCTCCTTTATGATCACCATGCAGTGATAGTGTTGCTTATTCTTGTACTTGATAAGTAAAGTTGTATTTCTTTTTCAGTGTATGAACAAATTCAATGAGTGCTCTCTTCTCACATGTTACATCAATTCAAAACAAACTCAATCATAGCACCCAAACTTGACTAGCTCCCATTGTGCTAAGCTGCACTTGTGCTCCGTTAACTTGACTAGCTCCCATTATACTAAGCTGTACTTGTACTCCGTTAACATCACATTTCTCTTCCGTAGCAAGGCTGAGTGAGTGTAGACTAACTATGATTTGTTTTTACTTTTTCTATATGCCATCTTATATATTATGTAACACACTAGTTCAGAGGTATATGTAGCTACCTTTTGCTTTTCTCAGAATTATTATGTCCTTTGGATTTCATACTTTTGAGTATTAGTAACATGTTAGCGAAAGGAAATAGATATGGACTTTTGAAGATGATAACACCCAAGTGGACATTCCTGGAGTGAACTCTTTTTAACTTAGCTGAAATGCAGGAGCATATTTATTTGCAACTAGGTATGGAGAATGGCTTTTTCTCCCACCATTACCTATTCATTTATTTGTTCTTTTAATTTATGAGAGGGAATGCTTTGAGGAGATGGTAAAGTTTCTCAAGTCCACGCCTGTCAATGCTGAGTGGAAGGAGATTTTTTATGTGCATTCAGTGTGTTCTGTGACATTTCAATTGTAATGTTGTGGAATTTTGAAATGTATTTTATCAAATGTAATTTCTTTGTGATGAATTTCCAGGAAGAGAGAGACAAGAAACGAAAAGCCTATGAAGAAGAAAGGAGGTTGATTTGAGTTTCTGATTTTATCATGACCGGTGGCCTTTTCAATTTATTTTCCCTTTACTATTGGGTGGAAAGTGTTGACTTTCTAGTTTGATTCAGATCAAGAGAGCGGGGAAGCCGGGACCGTGACAGGGAATCTAGCAAGGATCGTGATAGAGGTGATAGCCGTGATAGAGGAAGAGAATATGACCGCAAGAGCAGAGATCGTGATAGGCACCGTGACCGTGACCGTGACAGAGAGCGTGATAGAGATAAAGATCAATCTCGCGGCTACGACTCGAGGAGTCGCCATAGATCTCGTTCGCGGTCAAGAGAGCGCTCCAGAGATTATGATCGCCACAGGTTCTCTTTTTCGACAGCTTCTATATTTAAGTAATTTCTGTTGGCTCCTAGTCCTAGGTATGGGTCTAGTCTGATAGTTATTATGTCATATAGTAGCTGAATGCACTATTTATGGTGTTACACTGCACAACTAGATTCTAAAATTGGTTGGAATATCTGAATTTCACATCTAATGAATGCATGTCAATCTTTATTATTCTATTTCTGGGTCTGTTAAGTATGTTTCAAACTCTTAGAATTACAAAGTTGACTTCTTTTTATACTTAAAGAAATGCCAACAATGTACACTGCACATGTATGGTTGCAGTGCTTCTAAAACCTAGATCTAGGATGCCAGTGTTTAGACCATGGTTTTCTCTTCATTTTTCCTTGTTTACTTCCTCCTAGATTTTTCTATTTCTTTCTTGTTCAGAAAGAGAGATCCATCCATGTTCTTTTTGTGATACTAACTTCCCTAAATGGTAAGAGAGAGAGAGAGAGAGAGAGACATGATTTTCACAATTGTCCACCTGACAGTAGAAGGATATTAGCCCTTGAATTTCTCAGAAACACCATTGAACATGTTAAAATGTCGGCTTTCCTTGAATTTTGTCTCTGCATACAGTTACATGTTACCTTTTGTCTCTTTTTCCATTCTTCTGATTTGTCTCGTGTGTTGTGGGGCAAATGTCTGGAAATACCTAGAAAGTCTTGACAAAAAAAGTATCCAATGTCAGCCTCAAAGCCTTGAAATTATTCTACTGAGAAAGGTAGTGCTCAAAGTGAATGATCCCAACCTGGCATCTGTCTCCTTTAATGGGTAAACCCAATAACATTGTTACTCCTGTCACTGACTACCCTAGGCTTGCATGATCTACTACTCGTCCAATTGGTTTAATGCCTTGTATTCTTTGTGACTGATTTCACTTTTGCTCTTTCAAAGCAAGAAGCCATATTTGTCTCTCAGGTTCTTACTAATCTATTGGTATTTTCCTCTGAAGTTTGTTGCTCCTCTCACCTCTTATCCTAGTAAAACTTTTAAGGGGAAAAAATGATTGTGTATTTGGGGGGGTGTGTGTGTTGGTTCATGTATGTGGATAATGTCCTTGCTTTCCAAACCTAATACCAGGCTTCGTTTCCTCCTTTGCAGGCGTCGCTACTAGCTGGAGATTTAGAGGAGAAATCTGAATGTTTCTTGTGTTTATTGACTATTTAGTATTCTGTAGGAGGATCTTTTGTTTCTACTTATTAGTATTGGAATTCGTGAATTGCTATAAATCAATAGGAAAGAGATTCTCTGTATGCTAGTCTTATGCTGCCTAACTCCGGCTATCTATTGGTGGCTTTGGTGCTTATTTTCTAGCTTCATTACTCGAGTTTTGTGATGTCCAGAATGCACAACTAAATCCTAACTTATTATAGGACAGTTCATTAGAATTGTTTGTGTGATTATTACTGTAGCTGAATTTGTTCCTTACTGCGTATCAACAATATATTATATTGCTGGGACATGTTACTCTTCCATTTTAAGAATGTTGTTGGTTGGTTAAATTGGCCTTGAATCTACCTTTTGGGACCTTCGTTTACAGAGTATGATTCCATATTTACTGTATAGAATATAGCCCGTGAGTTCTATACCTATCGACTTTCTAATTTAGCTTGTTTGGTGGGGATTAAAATCAGAATTCTAGTAGATTTTGATAAAAGTTGATGAAATATGTGGTTGAAAAGTTGTGTCTTAGTAAATATTTAGTTAAAATTAATTGTTGACTTTAAGTTAGATTAAAATCTAGATTTTTTTCTTTATTTGTTAATTTTAATCCCTATTTGTCGAGGGCTTAATACATGAACAAATTATTCTGAAATAAATGTAATAGTAAAGAGTAAAAAAATATGAAAAATTATACAATTGATTCATTCTGTGTAACAAACCCTTTACCCATAAATTTCTTCGTATAACCACCACATCTCACTTTCGGGTAAGTTTCATCCCAGACGTTTGAACTAAGCAAAGCTTCATTGAGCGTTAAATTCTAATTTTTCTCAATTGGCACACCATAATATAATGTGTGATATTCCATAATCAACTGTTTTGCCAAAATGGCTGGACCTACCAAAGAAGGTAAAAATAGGATTGAAAATTATAGATTGCATTTTCATTGGCCACGTATATTATAGTAGTACTTTATCGATTTCTTGTGTGTGAATTTAAAATTTCATACTGAAAACAAAAACATAAATGAAATCAAGTAATGTTTCGTTCTTTGAATGAGTATTTTCATGGATCCAAAAGGAAGCAAGTTTCTCTAAACAAGCACATTAAACTATGATGGAAAATAGTCCGAACGAGAGATTAGAAGGCAAGTTAAGGTTAAACCAAGATCTAACAAAAGAGCAAGGACAAGAAAAATCTTTTTATCCTAAGTTTCCAACTGAATTGTCATATTGTAAATGATATTTCATGTAATGTTACGTGGCACCATTGAAACGAAAATGGTAAAATGAAGGTTTATAGAATTGTTATGGATTCACTTCAAAAGAAAAGGCAATGTTTTAATGCTTTTATGATGCGATGTAATAGTAAATTGATGTCATGCTAGCTATTACGTGAATGATTCATTGTAGTTTGTTAATCGATTTCATGGAAGATCAATTAAAAGCAAATTAAAATATGGTGACTCAAATATAAAGTAATTGAAGTTCAGTTACTCCAAATTAGAGAAACTAAAATGTAGAGACCCAATTGAACTTTTACTGAAAGTTTAAGGATCGAAGATAAAATATACCTCCACTCTGTCCATCTTCCGGGATATACAAGTAAATGACCCAAATTCAAGGCCTTAATTCCAAACTAACCACAAACTAACCCATTTCACTATTCAACCATATAAACTACCTAAAATACCCTTAATATAAAATGTTTCAAAATAAGTCATTTTA